AACCCACGGGCTCAGGCAATCCACTCATCTCAGCCTCCCAAAGGCGCGGGATTACAGGCTGAGCCACTGAGCCCGGCTTTTTTCTTCACTTAATCATTTACAGTTTTGGGTGGGATTAAGTTTTTTTAATGATTAGTTTTGTTTTACTTTATAAGTGCTATTTATCTATGGATTTCAAACAAAAACAAACTGCTCTATCTTTTTGGTTTGAGGTAAAAACAATTTGAAAAATTTGGAGGAAAAGAAGCATTGAAAAAGGAAATAAAAAACAGATGAACTACAGTAAGAAAAGCAGATTTATATTTTGAAGTCTTCCAAAATTCAATTATTATCACTATTACATAAAATAAAGTAGATAAAAGAAAGAAATGAATGTATTAGGAGTGATGAACTCTAGAAGAAAATCCACAAACTTTTCATGGAAATCTGCAGCACTTAAAGAAAAAGTTGTCTAGGTTGACAGTTTATATAAGAATTCAAAAAATTTAAAGCCTTCTAAATTGTTATTTTTCCCCAGTTACCTGCTGTGTCTATTCTTGTCTCAATTTTAGACAAATGTGACTTGTTGTTTATTACAGTCTTTTCTTTGTAATCGCCATCAATTTTTAAACATTCCTTCTCCACATCAAATCTTAAACGAAAGAACAATAAAAAATTTAAAAGTACAATACAAATAAGAACATATTTATTACTGATATTCTTATATCTGTACTACTATGCCTCTGGACACATATATTCAAAATATATACAAGGAGTTCAAGTTATCCAAAGTCTTTCTTAAGAAAACATGCAATTTAGTGAGGATAAATGTTAATCAGATCTAAACTGGTCAGAAATTTGTAATTAAAATTGTGACTAATTTATCTCAACTTTAAATTTTTGTTCTTGACCTGGCGCTATGGCTCACGCCTATAATCCCAGCACTTTGGGAGGCCAAGGTGAGAGGATTGCCTGAGAACAGACTGGGCAACTTGGCAAGATCTCATCTCCACAATAAATAAAAAAATTAGCCGGGCATGGGGGCGTGTGCTTGTAGTTCCAGCTACTTAGAAGGCTGAGGCAGAAAGATCACCAGAGCCCAACAGATAGAGGCTGCGGTGGCCGGGAGTATGCCACTGCCCTCCAGCCTGGGTGACACAGTGAAACGCCAACTCAAAAGAAAAAAATTTTTGGTTCTTTTTTAGTTTGGATGGCTATAAGAATTACATTAGTTATTTTTGGTTGGTTTTATAAACAAAGGGAAGCAGTGTTTGTTTATGTAATGAAAAAACAGCATCAACAGTATGTAGACCAGATATTCTCAGTACTCTACTGAAATTATTTGGAATTCTTTACATGTTCAGGTTTATGATAATTATTTAAGAAGTTATTATAGTATTTTATGGTAGAGGATTCTTTAGTGACAAATTTTATATAAATAAATGTAAAACATACTTATCCCATTCTGCATAATCCCTTGGAATTTTCTTTTTAGCTGGTGTACTTTTAGAATATTTTTCCTAAAAGAATAAAATCACATATTATGAGACACACTTAAACTATGATTAGTGGGTTTTGCTATAAATGTAATGCAAAGTATTGAATTAAGAGATACAACTGGGCTGGGCACAGTGGCTCATGCCTGTAATCCCAACACTTTGGAACACCGAGGCGGGAGGGTCATTTGGAACCAGGATTTGGAGACTATCATAGACCTCATCGCCACACAAAAAAATTTTCAAATGAGTCAAGCATGGTAGTGCGTACGTGAAGTCCCAGCTACTTGGGAGGTTGAAACAGAAGGACTGCCTGAGCCCAGGAGATCAAAGCTATAACTAGCCGTGACTGTGCCACTGCACTCTCCAGCCTGGGCAATGGAGTGAGACCCTGACTCAAAACAAAACAAAAGAAAAAGATATACAAATGAAAAGGATAAGTAAAATGAGTACCCTTGAAATTATAAAACTTTGGTGTTATAATTATTAACATAACATAGAGCAGGTAAAAGAAACAATGATAAATCTGTAGTTAATTCTTGGGACAATCTATAAGCTTTAAAGTGCATTTTTCAATTTACTTTTTTTTTTTTACATTGGAGTCTCACTCTGTCACCCAGGCTGGAGTGCAGTGACATATTCATGGCCACCGCAGCTTCCCTGCTGGGCTCAGGTGATCCTTCGGCCTTAGACTTCCAAGTAGCTGGAACTACAGGTGTGCTTCACCACGCCCGGGTACGTTTTTTAAAATTTAGTGTAGAGATAAGGTTTCACCAAGTTGCCCAGGCTGTTCTTGAACCTGTGGGCTCAGGCAATCCTCTCTCCTCAGCCTCCTGAAGTGCTGGGGTTATAGGTGTGAGCCACCATGCCCGGCTGAGTACTCTTTTATTATGGGAAAATCCATATTAGAACACACAAGCACAAAAATGGGACAACAGACACTGGGATACTCCTAAAAGGTGGAGAAACTACCCACTGGGTACCATGTCTACCACCCGGTGACAGGCTCCATAGAATCCCAAGCCTCACCATCATACAATATACCTTTATAACAAACCTGCACGTGTACCCTTTGAAAAATATACTTTGGCTGGGCATGGTGGCTCAAGCCTGTAATCTCAGCACTTTGGGAGGCCAAGGCGAGAGGATTGCCCGAGCTCACAGGTTCGAGATCATCCTGGACAACTTGGCGAGACCTCATCTCTACAATAAATCAAAAAATTAGCCAGGCGTGGTGGCATGTACCTGTAGTTCTAGCTACTTGGAAGACTGAGGCTGAAGGATCACCAGAGCCCAGCAGGTTGAAGCTGTGGTGGCCAGGAGTGTGCCACTGTACTCCAGCCTGGGCGACAGAGTGAGACTCCAACTCAAAAAAAAAAGAGAGAGAGAGAGACAGAGAGAGAGTACTCAAAGGCTGGAACACAGCAGCATGATCACGGCTCACGGCAGCCTCAACCTCCTGGCCTTAGGTGATCCTTCCACCTCAGCCTCCAGAATAGCTGGGACTACAGGGCACACCACCACACCCAGCTACTTTTTTTTTTTTGTAGAGATGAGGTCTCCCTATGTTGCCTAGGCTGGTCTCAGACTTTTGGGCTCAGGCAGCTCTTCTGCCTTGGCCTCCCAGAGCTGGGATAACAAGCATAAGTCACCATGCCCGGTCAATATTATTTCTTCTTTGGATGTTTTGTAGAATTTGCCAGTGAAACCATCTGGGAGTAAAGTTTCTTTTGTGAAAGATTCTGAATTGGCCTCAAGATGCAAGACTTTAAAGGAAAAAACTGCTTCAATTTGATCTCTACATGATGAGACACAGCCTATATACACAGCCAGCCAGAAAACTCCCCACCTCTCCTGGAGGACATCACATTCTGGCTGCTTTGATTAAGCTGAGATAGCCTCTCAATTAACAACAACAACCCTTGCCCTCTCACACCTACACCCCACATCAAAAAGGCCAACCTTGCCAACAAGAAGACAGCTGTTAGAACCACGAACTGGAGGAAAATCATCTTCCACTGCAGGGAATGTTCTAGTTTCATGAAAGTGCATTTTATTTTCTTCTTCTTTTATTTCTGATACCCAACTCTGAGAATAATACAGAAAAAGAAGGTAAATATATGGTTTTAAATAATTAACCAGGCATAAGAAAGAATAACAGTTGACCTTAAAGAACATAGTGGTGCATGCCTACAGTTCGTTACTTGGAAGCCTGAGGCAGAAGGATCACCTGAGCTCAGCAGGTCGACACTGCAGTGGCCATGAGCATGCCATTGCACTCCAGCCTGGGCAACAGAATGAGACTCCATCTCAAAAAAAAAACAAAACATTTAGCTTTTTAAAAATGTAAAGATAGGGAAACCCCTTTGGGCCCTCTCCCACTGTGAGAGCTTCTCTGTCCTCTCAATAAATCCTGCTTTCTCACTTAAAACAAATAAATAAATAAAATAAACACATAAATAGTGGTAAAATATATATATTTTTAAAATGTCATGATAACAGGAGAAGCAGCTTCGGCTGACCAAGAGGCAACAGATGAGTTTCCTAGACACTATTAAGGAAAACACTGAGAAAGAATATCTGCCTGAACAGGTTTTTAATACAGATGAACGTACCCAAGCCGGGCTCTGTGGCTCAGCCTGTAATCCTACGCTTTGGGAGGCTGAGGTGAGTGAATTGCCTGAGCCCGCGGGTTCGAGACCCACCTGGGCAACTTGGCGAGACCTCGTCTCTACAATAAATCACAAAATTAACTGGGTGTGGTAGCGCGTGCCTGTAGTTCCAGCTACTTGGAAGGCTGAGGCGGAAGGATCACCGGAGCCCAGAGGGTCAAGGCTGTGGTGGCCGGGAGCGGCCACTACACTCTAGTCTGGGCAACAGAGTGAGACTCCAACTCAAAAAAACAAAAAAAGAAAGTACCCTATTGTGGAAAAAAATGCCACAAAGGACACTTATCAGTAAGGAAAAGAAGCAAACCGTAGGATATGAGACAATGATGGGCTAACTCTATTGTTTTGTGCAAATGCAATCAGGCTTATGATCATGAGTGTCCTTATCTACAAAGCCACTAGCCCCTGAGTCTTAAAGGGAAAAGATAAACACCAGCTGCCAGTCTTTTGGTTGTACAAGAAGGCCTGGACAACGAGAACACTTTTTCTGGATTGGTTCTACCAATGCTTCGTTATTAAAGTCAGAAGTACCTTGCCAAAGTTCTTCTTTTAAAGTTCTTTTGATATTGAACAATGTCCCTGGCCACCCCATAAGTTCAACACTGAAAGTGTCAAAGTGGTCTATTTGCCCTCAAACACAGCATCTCTAATTCAGCCTCTAGATCAGCTTCTAGATCCTTTAAGGTCGGGCATAGTGGCTCACACTTGTAATCCCAGTACTTTGGGAGGCGGAGGCAAGAGGACTGTCTGAGTTCAGGGGTTTGAGACCAATCTGAGCAACATGGTGAGACCTCGTCTCTACAATAAATCAATAAATTAGACGGGTAAGGTGGTGCATGCCTGTGGTTTCAGCTACTTGGAAAGCTGAGGCAGAAGGATTGCTTGAGCCCAGAAGGTTGAGGCTGTGGTGGCTGTGAGCATGTCACAGCACTCCAGCCTAGGTGACAGAGTGAGACTCTGACTCAAAAAAAAAGAACCTTTAAGGATCATTACACATAGTACTGTATGGAAAGGAGTTCCAATGCTATGAAAGAGAACCTCAATACAGAGATCATCATCATGAAAGTCTGGAAGGGTTATACCACTGAAGATGTCATCATTGTTTTAGAAAACGTTATGAAGCAGGAGTGGTAATAGCACATATCTGCAGCCCCAGTTATTAGGGAGGCTGAGGCAGGAGAACTACTTGAGACTAGGAGTTCAAAGTCACTGTGTGCCATGACTACATCTGTGAATAGCCACTGTACCCCAGCCTGGCAACAAGCAAGACCTTCATTTCTAAAAAAAAAGAAAAACGATTTTGATTAATTAAAAAAAAAAGAAAAAGCTGTGAAAGCCATTCAGCCAGAGACAATAAATTCTTACTGGAGAAAATTGTCCAGATATTGTGCATGACTTTACAGGATTTTTAACAGGGCCTATCAAGAAAATCATAAAAGAGACTACAGATATGGGGAAAAAAAAAGTGGGGAGGAGGTGAAGGGTTTCAAGATACAGATTTTGGAGAAATTCAAGAGCTAATAGACACCACACCAGAGAAATTAACAGAAGACAATCATGGAGACGAGTGCCTCTGAACCCATGCCAGATGATGAGAAAGAAGACACAGAAGAAGCCATGCCAGAAAACAAATTGACACTAGAGAATCTGGCAGAAAGGTTCAGATTATTCAAGACTGCCTTTGACTTCATTCACAACGTAGATCCTCCTATGATATGGGCACTGAAACTAAAGCAAAGTGTGGAAGAAGGTTTGGCACCTTATAGAAACATTTTTAGAGAACTGAAGAAGCAAAAATATTGGGCAAAAATTACAATGTATTTCTGTAAAGTTACAAGTGTGTTTGCTTCTCCTACCTCTCCCTTTTAAAAGAATGGTTTTTTTTTTGTTGTTGTTGTTGTAGAGACAGTAGGCTATCAGAAGTTAAGTATTTGGGGAGTCAAAAGTTTTATGTGCTGGCTGGGCGTGGTGGCTCACTCCTATAGTCCCAATACTTTGGAAGGCCAAGGCAAGAAGATTGCTTGAGATCAGGAATTTGGGACCAGCCTAGGCAACATAGCAAGGCCCCCATCTCTACAAAAAAAAATTTAAAAATTAGCCAGCCATGGTGGTGCATGGCTGCAGTCTCAGCTGCTTAGTAGGCTGAGGTGGGAGGTTCACTTGTGCCCAGGAATTCAAGGCTGCGGTGAACAACAATCATCCCACTGCACTCTGGTCTGGGTGACAGGGTGAGACCTTGACTGAAAAAGACACACACAAAAAAGGGATTGGGTTGGAACAATAAACTGTCCTATCCATATAGAAGGCAAGGAAGTTGAAAAGGATGCAAAGAAGACAAATAGGAGGAGAAAAGGAAAAGCAATAATGGAAGAAAGATAAGGGAAGAGGAAGACTTATAGACAAGAAGGGAGCAAGAAAGAACAGGAGGGAGAAGTGCCAAAGAAGGTATAGAAGAGAGAAGGGACTAACTCAAGAAGTGGTCAAGGCGAGAAGGGGCACACAATGGGAAAAGAGCAGGCTCTCAACTAACACTATCCTGAACATAAGGCCAAACAACTCAGCGGAATAAAGTGCTATTTCTGACTTGTAGATTATTTACCAGATTTTCAAACTCAAGTCAACAAAATGGTACAAGGAGACAGTCAAATATGTAAAAACCGGCATTCTAGTTAGAGAGTACATGTCCCTCAAAATCGTTTTTAAATATATTATTCAACTCCCCAAAACATACACTGAATAAAATAAAGCAAAACAAAAAACTATTTCTTTAGAGTTCATTGAAAAAATAATTTCTAGCCAGGCATGGTGGCTCAAGCCTGTAAACCCAGCACTTTGAGACGTGGAGGCAAGAGGGTTGCCTGAGTTCAGGAGTTCAAGACTAGCCTGGGCAACTTAGTGAGACCTCGTCTCTACAATAAATCTAAAAATAAGCTGGGCATGGTAGTGCACAACTATGGTTCCGGCTACTTAGAAGCCTGAAGTAGAAGGATCGCCTGAGCCCAGCAGGTCGAGGCTGTGGTGACTCCCACTCAAAAAATAACTAAACAAAAAATAATTTCTTAAGCAAAATGAAACTACCTAGGAATTCTGAGAAAATATAGGTATGTGGTGGAGAGTAAGTTTTTTTAACTGTTTTTTGTTGTTGTTTTGAGTTGGAGTCTCACTCTCATCCAGGCTGGAATACAGTGACATGTTGCTCATGACCACGGCAGCCTCAACCTGCTAGGCTCAGGTGACCGTTCCACCTTGGACTTCCAAGTAGCTGGAATTACACGTGTGTGCTACCACACCCAGCTAATTTTTTTGACTTATTTTAGAGACGAGGTCTCACCATGTAGCCCAGGCTGGTCTCAAACCCACGGGTTCAGACAATCCTCTTGCCTCCACCTCCCTTTCCTAACTGTTAAAGCCAAAGAAAAATATAAAGGATAATAACAAGAGGTGTGATAACATAAATATTTAAAAAATTTTAGCCGGGCTCAGTGGCTTAGCCTGTAATACCGTGCCTTTGGGAGGCTGAGGTGAGTGGATTGCCTGAGCCCGCAGGTTCAAGACCTGGGCAACTTGGCGAGACCTCATCTCTACAGTAAATCAAAAATTAGCTAGGTGTGGTAGCGCCTGCCTGTAGTTCCAGCTACTCGGAAGGCTGAGGCGGAAGGATCGCCGGAGCCCAGCAGGTTGAGGCTGCGGTGCCCGGGAGCGACCACTGCACTCCAGTCTGGGTGACAGAGTGAGACTCCAACTCAAAAAAAATAAAAAATAAAAATAAAAATTTTATACATGAAAAACACAACAATTAAAAGGCAAACAACAAACTGAGGGAAAATTTAGAATACACAGGACAGCCAGGCTCAGTGGCTCAGATTGTAATCCCAGCACTTTGGGAGGCCAAGGCGAGAGATTGCATGAGCCTGCGAGTTTGAGACCAGCCTAGGCAACTTGGCAAGACTTCATCTCTATAATAAATCAAACATTAGCTGGGCACAATAGTGCACTGAAGCCCAGCAGGTCGAGGCTGCAGTGGTCGGGAGCGTGCCACTGCACTCCAGCCTGGGCGATGGAGTAAGACTCCAACTCAAAAAAAAAAAAAAAAAAGAATACACAGAACAGAACCCTTATGAATAAATAAGAAACACATCAATAGAAAAAAATCCATAAAGGGCCCAGGTGTGGTAACTCACGCCTATAATCCCAGCACTTTGGGAGGCCAGGGCAGGTGGATTGCTTGAACCCAGAAGTTTAAGACCAGCCTGGGCAACACAGTGAGACCTCCTCTCTACAAAAAAAAAAAATTAACCAGGTGTGTTGGCACCTGTATTCCCAGCTACTTGGAGGGCTGAGGTAGAAGGATCACCTAAGCCCAGGAGGCTGAGCCCGCAGTGAGCCATGATTGTGCCACTGTATTTCAGCCTGGATAACAGAGTAAATCTAAAAAAAAAAAAATTAGTAAAAGGACTTCTGGCCAGATGAAGTTAGGAACTGGATTTACCTTCCTGCTTAAGCTCTAGAAAACTGAGTAAAATGTATGAAGCAATGGCTATCAGACACTAAACAATAGGTGACACAGGACAGCAATCACTAAAGGGAAACAAATGGCAGTAAGCCTTAGGTTTTATTCAACTTACTGCCTGGAGTTTCCAGACTGCGGCACAGAAAAAGGACCCAAACAGAGCCCTGTGACCTCCCTGATTTCATGGGACAGAGTTTGGACTTCGGGAGACCAGGACTGCAAAATTTGGGGGGACAAAATATCAGAGAGGAGGAAGTTAGTTGGACAGAGAATCTGAAGATAACCTGAATAGCACTGCCTGCATCTATTAAAGACATTTAATTTATAGTTAAAACCTTTCTTTTTTTTATTTTTTTTGAGTTGGCGTCTCACTCTGTCGCTCAGACTGGAGTGCAGTGGAACGCTCCTGGCCACCACAGCCTCGACCTGCTGGGCTCCAGCGATCCTTCTGCCTCAGTCTTCCAAGTAGCCAGATCTACAGGCATTTACTACCAAGCCCAGCTAATTTTTAATTTATTGTAGAGATGAGGTCTTGCCAAGTTGCCCGGGTGGGTCTTGAACCTGCAGACGCAGGCAATCCACTCACCTTGGCCTCCCAAAGTGCTGGGATTACAGGCTAAACCATCGAGCCTGACCTAGTTAAAACCTTTCTTACAGGCGGGGCGAAGTGTCTCATGCCTATAATCCCAGCATTTTGGGAGGCTGAGGTAACAGGACTGCCTGAGGCCACAGGTTCAAGACCAACCTGGGCAACTTGGCAAGACCAACCTGGGCAACTTGGCAAGACAATAAATGAAAAAATTAGGCAGACGTGGTGGCACCTGTCTGCAATTCCAGATATTTGGAAGGCTGAGGCAGAAGGATCGCCAGAGCCCAGCAGGCCAAGGCTGCAGTGGCCGAATGCCACTGCACTCCAGGCTGGGTGAGAGTGAGATTCCAACTAAAACAAATAAACAAACAAACAAACAACAACAACAACAAAAAACCTTTCTTACAAAGAAAAACCCAGGCCGGCTGTTCATGGTGGCTTACATCTGTAACACCAGCCCTTTTATTTATTTTTTATTTTTATTTTTTGAGTTGGAGTCTCA